ATGGAAAAGGATAGGGAAGACTTATTTCCTATCGCACATATTTTAAAATATCACATTGAGATGTCATACGGCGGTTTGACCTATGCCATTTGAAAGGGTTTTATCTTTAATTTTAATGAACTGTAAGGAAAGGTCTTTGAACTATTTGGCAATAGAAAAAAAAATTAGTCTTTTACATATGTTTATTAAAATGTTGAATTTAGATCTCCTGTCGTAGTTTCAACCTGTCTTTCTTTTATACACGTGTCTTTTAAAGTCGAATTTAGGAGTCTTGGCGTGGTTTCGGTACGTTTGTTTCTTGTGTGTGTGTGTGTGTGTATATATATATATATATATATATATATATATATATATATATATATATATATATATATATATATATATATAGAATATATATATATAGAATTTGGATGTCCTGCAGTGGTTTCAGCACGTCTGTACTTTATATCAATGTCGAATTTAGATTTCTTACCGTAGTTTCAGCCTATCTGTTTCTTTTGAATATAAATTTTGAAAAGTCGAATGTTGATGTCCTGTCGTGGTTTCAGCATGTCTGTTTGATGAAAACGCTGACCTCTATGACGATTATGAAATGATGACTGTTGGGGAATTCTAGGAACTGTTTGGCGTCCAGGGAAAATAAACACGATCTTGCATCTTGTGCACTTGATGAAATATCGAATTTAGATGGCATACTCCAGTTTCAACGCATCTGCTGGACAAATCTTCCGTTAATAATACTAACTATTAACTGTAGATGGAAAGTCTGTGACTATGTTGACGATAACAAGAAAATTTAAACTCAGGTGTCACACGGTGTCTTCACATGATCTGTTCGAAGTGTGTTTACGTCTAATTGGGGAGAAAAAAAAGGGGGTGGGGGAGGAGGCGGGAATCGCACTTCATACTGAAGTGTCGAATTTAGTTGACATTCCATGATTTTTAATGTTTCTTCAAAATTACGCTTAATGATGAACTGTTAAATGGAAGTCTTGGAATATTTACAAAGACAAACGTTCAGCTACGTTGGTGATGGTAAAGCAGCGGTTCTCAACCCGTGGATCGCGACTCTTTTGGAGGTCGGACGATCCTTTCACAGGGGTCGACTAAGACCATCGCAGAAAACATATTCACCGAAGTTATGAAGTAAAAACGAAAATAATTGTATGGTTGGGGTCGACTTAAAATGAGAAACTATTAAAGAGTCGCGGCATGAGGAAGGTTGAAAACCATTGTTATAGACGATAAGACTAAGAAGATTCTAATGGTGGTGGAAAAGACGAACTTTTCTCTGTGTCAGTATTGATGATGATACACTATTGGCGATACGATTAAGAAAATCACTGCAATGGAAAAGGCGAACTTTTCTCTGTGTCAGTATTGATGATGAAACACTATAGGCGATAGGATTAAGAAAATCTCGGCAATGGAAAAGTCGAACTTTTTCTTTGTGTCAGTATTGATGATGATACACTATAGGCGTTAGGATTAAGAAAATTTCGGCAATGGAAAAGACGAACTTTTCTCTGTGTCAGTATTGATGATGATACACTATAAGCGATGGAATTAAGAAAGTCTCGGCGATAGAAAAGACGAACTTACCCATGTTGCCGTTGTTATAACAATGAATTATAAAGAATAAGCGTAGGAACAATTCGTCAGGGGAGAAGCCAGATGTATCTATGTGTCGGTGTTGATGATGAACTATAGAGGTAGAGTGAAGGAACTTTCGGCAATGAAAAAGACAAACTTATCTGTGTCAATGATGACGATGACACTTTAAGGAACTGTTCAGAAGTAAACGTCGAATTATCTCCCTGTAGACGATAATGAACTGTTATGTAGGGATGAACTTAAGAACTTTAGAGGATAAGTTTAAGAGCTATTTGGCAGTGAAAAAGAGGACCCGGTATATGTGTCACTGATTGTGCTATAGAGTACTAGTGCAAGAATTCGTTTTCTTCTTCTTTTTCTTCTTTCTTCTTCTTCTTTTTCTTCTTCTTCTTCTTCTTCTAAAACAGTTTGATTCTTTGACTTTCTATGCAATCCCTCAGCGTAATTATTCGGCGATGGAAAAGATGAACGCTTCTCCGTGTGTCGGTCTCTGCTTTCTGGCAGTGTGGTTAGCTGGTTGTATTAGTACCGCCTCCACAACCACTATCTGCATTGCCGCGAAATCAGCTGATCCCTGACGCCATCTGTTGTCAGCTCCGGGCTTCTTCTTCGTGGATGGCGTACTTCTTGTTGGACATGTCATTTAATTTATGTTTCACTATGTTGGTTGACAAAGTTTCCTTGAATCAATGAATCAGGTGCCGTCTCCACATTGAAGGTTGGCTGCAATGGATCTCAGATACTCCGTGTCTCATGTCTTGGTTATACACTCTTTTATACTGCCGTTTGTCCATATCTTGATTTTTATAATTTATTAACTGTTGATCTCATCTTTTTTTTATTGGTTGTATAATCTGATGTAAGTTATCAATTGCTAATGTTATCTACATTCGTGGTACCTACATATAATCATTTTTTTAAAGCTGGTACAAAGAGGCCGAGGTTTGGGGGGGGGGGGGGGGGGGTCTTGCCCCATAATCTTCTTCTTCTTCCTTTATCCGCTGAAAGTTCCGGCGGAAAGTTCTCGTTGTTTTTCAGCCTCAACTTTAGCTTTCTGCCAGTGCCTGAGTTATTGCGTGTACATCAGTTTTACTGGCTTTTTTATGTGCAGTTGGTCGTTGCTTGCCGCTTGGGCAGATGCACTCATAATCTAGAAGAAATCACCCCCCCCCCTTTCCTCCCACTAATTATTCGACTCCTACGACATACTTGTGGGCAGTAGGTCTCTTCTTACCCCCCCCCCCCCGCAACGGGACCCTGGAACCCACACAGGGATCAATACACTCCACTGGTTCAAAAGCTGAACCCCCACTCCCCTTTTTGTGCGTGGAGACAATGATTGAACAAATAACCTGCATCCTAAGTCGTCGACTCACTTAAAACTTACTAAAGTTGTTTGAAGTAAAATGATTTCAAGTATATCGTCCCTTGAATGCCGTTTGGCTGATACACATTGTATGCAGTATGCACCAAGGCACGAATAAGAATCTTCTGCTTACAAATAGTAGTACTCAGAACAAAAATAAATTTCTTTCTGCTCTCCACTTACACATTTCGGTTCTTTTATTTTTCACCCTTTCTCGGGGAATTCTCAGGAAAGTCTTATTTTATTAGGAAAGGGGGCGTTTTGGGGGGGGAGGGGGGGGGGGAAGTGTAAGTCGGTGTTCATTTCACACCATGACAGCCTATTGGACGTTCCCGAGAATTCTCAACGAAATCTCGCAGTCCCCGAGATAGTGGAAATTAAAAGGGTGAAAAAACCCACATTTCCCCCACCAAGTTTGTCACTTACATGTTATTACCTAAATACATGCTTCAAACTTCTCAACGATTGATCTTGATTTGTATATTAGAAGTGGCTGTGTAGGTTCCGGGGGTCTTACTGTAGGGAAAACAAGAAAACACCCACTACCTACTCAAAAGCATCTCGTAAGAGTCGACTAGTTGGGAGCTTCCTTCCAAGTCAGAGTGAACCTGCCTGGGAGGCAAGGAACCAACAGTCTGCATGCAGAGAAGTCAGATCTGTAAAACGGACTCATGTTCTGGTGCAGGACTACAATCCAGAAGGGGATGAACAACCAGAACTTTCTGCCGGAGTTTATAGAGGGTGAACACGAAGAAGATATACTAGAAGGTTTACTAGAATGGTTTTCCAACTCTCTCTCTCTCTCTCTCTCTCTCTCTCTTATTTTGCTCTCTTTTAGATTTCTGTTTGTTCAAATCGTGATGTTATCCTCCCGCTTGTGTCACTGTTTACCCCAGCTCACCTGCCGTTAACTTCTTCCTTTTAGTACGGTTTTTTTAAGTGCAGTGCGTCATTTTAATATGGCTCGAATATTACACCTGTTTCTTTTCTTTTATTAGATCATTGATCAACTTTTACCATTCATTCTCCAAAATATTTTATTTGATTGCCTTTGTTGCCATAAAATACAACCTGTTTATCCCAGTATCCACACTGATTGTAATATAAGACAATAACTAAAACTTGTTTTCGTATGAGATATTCAGTCACTACATTTTAGTTTTCTAAATTTTCATTTCATATCAACATTCAATACCTACAATTTAGATTTCCATGTTTCATATACAAAACTCAATAACTGCAACTTAGATTTCTATATTTCACATTAACAAAATTCAGTAGCTACAACCTTATTTTCTACTTTAATAAAAGAAAAAAAACTTTGATAACTACAAATTAGTTTTCAATGTTTCATATACATTATTTAATAACTTCAACTTAATTTCCTATGTGTCATGGGGGTATTCAGTAAATGCAGTTTTGTTTTCTGTGTGTAGTGTTCTGTTCTGTAGAGACGCATGAGGGCCCACTTGGCAGGGCACATGATGATGATGCTGATGCGTGTAGTTTGAGGTATTCGTTATATAAACTTAGTTTTTCGATTTCATACAAACGATCAGTAACTAAAACTTTCTGTTTCATATAAAAGAACCAGTAACTACACAATTATCTCTGTTTCGTTGAATAGATGGAATAACTACGACTCATACTTTATCTTTATCATATAACAGAAATGGGGCCACCGAAGAGTAGCTGCTAAAGGCTCGCCTGGGGATCGGAGGCTCGTGGGTTGGGGGTCCTGCCAGGGCCACCCCCTTTTTTTTTTCTTAAATGACTTTGGCTTCCACGTCGACCCAGCCTAAAATTGGTGCCAGTAGTCATTGGAAGTAAAGGCGGCCGATGCGATGTTGACCACATTACCCACGCAATACCGATTAAAAATATAAATAATATATAAAATATAGGTTGAGCGCCTTTGTGCCCTATACGCCCGAAAGCGCGTAAAAGGGCCCTTTGCTTTATTAATTTATTTAAAAAATACGATCACTAATAATCTCTTTTTTGTCTTTTCCATCGCCAGGGCAGCCTACGTGTCGTTTGGCGGACTTCTAATGAGGCTCAAGGGGGACTCCAACAACTTACACGGATTTGAGATCGATTCCCGGGTCTACCTCATGATGAAGAAGCTGGCCTTCTAAACAGGCGGTCGCCAGCTGAATCATCTCTGACATGTAGCGACTGGGTTGTGTGTCCGGGATCTGGCTGTGTTAGCTTATTTGTTTTTGTTTTGTTTGAGTGTTAATGTTTTCATCACGGAAGTCTGGCATGTGCAAGTCACAGAGAAATCCCCCTGTGTGTCATTGGACTCCAATTTGAGAGTGGGCTTGGGGGCACGGGACCGGCGGGGGGTGGGGGTGGGTGGGGTTACAGGCCAACTACTTTCTATCAAGCATGTGCAAGGTGAATAATTAGGTAATTAAGGATTTGCCGAGAAGTCCGATATGAGGACAGGGCCCATGGATGCTGAAATTGCAGGTTAGCTGTAAATCATAGTACAACGCGCAAGCCGCCCTGTTAAGTACGAACGTAGAAGTTACACAGAGCATATTTAGGAGACAAGACCAAGTGTTAACTCTTTTCCTAGGCAAATTTACGTTCAGTAGTATGCCATTGATACTGACCGGTCGGCTCTCGGTACCACTGTCGAAACCAACGTAAAACGGTCTGTTGCCGAATAGCCTGCAGCTGGAATCGAACCCAGCACCACTGGATTATGAAGCACATACGCAAAGCAGGCGCTTTGAAATTGAAAATTTCTAATGGAAATACACAGTAGAGCCAGTTAGAAGAATTGTGTTTAACTCCTCCCCATTCCTTGTTCTGGGGAAGCAAAGACGGCTGGCGTAATGCTGACCACATTACGCACTGAGCGCCGATTGACTGTAAAAAATATGCGACGCTCTGCCCATATGCCCGATGCGTCGAAAGGCGTGAAAAGGGATCTTTACTTTTTTTTTCCCCTCCCCATCCCGGCGCCACCGTTTCCTCATTTTCTCTCTCACTTGCATTGTGGTTAACAAAACATAACATTTATAAAGTTGATACACACCATTTGTGTTCAAAGACTTGTTACCGCTATGAAACGCGTGTGTGAATGAATGCCTTCTGTCCATCTTTTAAATGTGACATGATATTCCAATTCACAGATTCAATAACTATTGATGTGTTACTGTAACAGTTGTAACTGGAAAAATAAATTGTGAAATGCTTAGTGGTTTTTGTTATTGACTGTTTTTTTTTTTTTTTAATTTGTGTGTGGTTTGTGTTTTGCCATGGATTGGTTGGGTTAATGTTTCTTGGTTGCCGTTTTACACATAATTTTTGGTCTGTTAATGTTATGTCTAACGTTTTTCAAACAGTGGACACAACTATCATCATTATCATCATCAGTATCTATATTTATCTTATTCTGTGTGGATGTCGAAGTATTTTTAATGTCATCAGTCTATGTTATCCACGAAGACCCTGTTGCTTTCACAATCATCATCATCATCATCAATTTTCCCAATGAGCTGCGTTGGAAGGAATAGTTTGAGGCCCAATACTCAATGGACAGCATTGGCTGTTTCTAATTCTGTGTGAATGTGGAAAGGATTTTTAACGTCATAAGTCCATGTTATCAACGAACACCCTCTTGCTTTCACAGCAGATATTTTGCTCAGACCAAGCACCTACTGTCATGGTAGATGTTGGGACTTCATTCTGACGAGATGGCCATACCATTTAATCGTCTACTTTTCAGTGAATTTGATGCAAGGTGTTATCCAAGTCTGCCTGACAGTGTGTGATTTGTCACTCGGATGTAGTTTTTCCTCTTCCATATCTGCTGTCTGTAGGATTGCCGCTGTAAGGATGGCAGTCAAACAGTTACATGTCATACTGAACAAAAGAAGTCAGAATTTACAGACGTTAGCTGAAAACTAATGCCTCTTATGTTCATGTACCCAGGCGGAGAGCGACTTTGTGGGTATGCAGTACAGCTGCTATACATTTCACCAGCCAGAGAGACACTCCATTCTCTTTGAGCGCAAATACCAGAATATCATATATGAATCTATTATAGGCATCCTTAAGATCAAGAGTCGACATCACCATCTCCTGTCTGTTCTGGAGCCACTCACAAATATCAAAGGCAAACGTGGGCCGCATGTGACCAGGTATCTTTTCCTGGCCGGTAACTGCCCAAACCTGATGGCAAGAGCTCTTTCATTTCTGTAGTTTAACAGCAATATTCTTCTCAAACACCTTGACAAAAGTATTTTCAGGAGTAATAGTCCTGAAAGTGCTGAGTCTCGAATGATCTCTGCCTGGCTTTGGATTAAATAACTGTATACCCAATCCTGGGGTACTGACGCTCTTCTGAGGCTCTCGTTAAAGTACAAAGCCATCTCCCTCAAGTCTTCATCACTTATTTCCTTCATTACTGGGCACACTTGACTCTGTCTAGCCCTAGCGCAGCGTCTTTTGCTTTATGCAAGATATGTTTTATATGAGTATCATCCACACTAATAATCTCCTGACAGCAATTACCATTAATGGAATTCGATAGATTAACCCTAACTGAATTTTAATGTTCCCTATCATTATGACCAGTTTGTGCTATAAATCTCTGCAAAAATTCTACCCTCTTAAATTTTTCTGTTGTCACAGGCGTACCTGTATCTGTGTATATAATATCTGTTGTGATAGGCCGAACCTTTCTTTTTATCTGCCTGTAGTTTCCAGAACCTACCCAGCGATCTGTTCCCTCCAGTTTCATTCATAACATTTTCCCATTTAGTATTGTTTTTTTTTCCTCTGCTGCACATCGCTCCAACTTTTCTACTTAAAAAAAAAAAAAAACTGTTTCTGCCTTCTCTGTCTTCTCTTTGAGCTGACTTTCAAATTTTATGTAACTGAATAGTTGCTGCTCTCTTTTCTTTCTATGCCTGTTCGACTTCTTGGGTTCAACATGGAGGCTGCACAAACGCAGAACGGGTGGTTTTGTTACAAACCTTCTGCCGAAGGCGTCCAGGTAGGGTATTGACCATCTCATACTTGATAGTCTTGCACCTTCTTAAAGTCCTAATCTTGTTAACTTTGGTGGAAATCAAGACTGAGCATGGCATATGGTCACTACCGTAGTCACCCAGGACCCTTCCATTGTGTGTCCAGCACTGCTGACTAGGTAACAAACGCTAAATCAGTAGCCGTGTCTGCATCACCAGAGATCACCACCATTCTAATTGGCTTACCGTCATTTATACAGACTGCCTCAACCATAGCCTCTGCTGGGGCATTTCCTTGTCTTATTTTCCCCAGTGCTGCCCCATGCTGTGTTCCACGCAATAAACTCCCAACAAATGAGAAACCTATTGCCAGGGATTTCCTCTAACTCTCTGAGCCAGTCCTAGTATTGTTTTATGATAGGAGAGTCAAAAGCATAAACATGTACTAAGTTTTAAGTTGTGCCCTATTTATCGATCTGTATACCCTGAACCTCTGTTGTACTAATTTCATGCGAAGCAGGAACCAATAATATAACATCCCTGCTGGAATCAAACTTGTGTTCAGTTTAACCGATAGTTCTTCTTAAGCGAATTCGTGTTAACGTATAAGTATAGCAACAATATGCCCAATGCACTATCTCACCTATGAACCCCGTAGCTGTGAAGAGAATCATTCACTTTTTATAAAAACTGGCATGGTAAAGTCTTCATAGATTAACTACTATCTTACTGGGCAGTGGTGTTTTTGCAGGCAGGATTGTCTCTGAGACTGGCTCTATAACTGGACGAAACAAGAATCCAGCAAGTCAGAAATGTCACTATCAACTGACCCCAATTTTGAAAAACGTTTATAACACTGCGCAAAAAACACCTGTGTAATGAGATGATCAAAGTCACAGTTTTGAGAGCATAAATCTTCCCTGAGCATACAGATGTATGGTGGGCAAAAAAAAGATTGGGGATTCTGAGCTGAAATGCTATAGACAGATTCTCAGATACCATGGACAAAGAAGAGAAGAAATACTGACATTCTACAAGATTTGAAACATCAAGCCGGAGAGTTGGCGAGAGACTGTGATGGGAGCGATGTTCTGCAAAGAACCTGCCATACGATGATGAAAACTTCACTAACCTCATCAGGATTAACTCTGAAGTGGGACTTGTCAAAAGAGGGGTTACTAGAACAGTGACAACCCTGCCAGCTTTATGAACTATGCAAGGTAAAATTTACTTGCATGTTATCTTATGTTATCACAGTCAACGTCTCTGCACATTCAGCATTCCCATGTCTGCTCAGTCCTCCGATGCAGCAGCTACTTCATGGTACCTCTACTGGGTATTTCCACGAGGAGCTGGTTATAGTCTCCTATCTCGACCTCAAAAGCGGCAGATACGTGAGTTACCATGCAATTTTACTTGCATACCGATTGAGTTGCCTTCAGCAACATACTTAGTACCAGTTTCAGACCACTAAATAAATAAACACATGTGCCAGGGCACGAAGGAGTGCTAGGAAATGAGCAAGCTGATCGTCTTGCAGGCGAAGCTACTGTGAAGGGCGAACAAGCCATAAACCAGGCAGATATTATAAATGCTCTTCGAGAAGTGAGACTGCGAGAACCCAGTGATGACTGTGAATCTACATGCATGACCAGACTGCAAGAACATATTAGAAGGGGTGTGGCCAAATAAGAGCACTATGCAGGAAGCCAAAGAAAAAATAAGAACCGAACACTGAACTGGTGCTCAACGGCTTTCCGCTGCGGGACTAAGGAGGCGATCCGAGCACTTATGGACTGAATAAGTTAAGCCGTCGACTAACACAATAAACTAGTGTGCTATTTGAAAATATAATAATAGTGAAAATAATAATATATAGCACACTCATTTATCTGTAAAATTATAATTAATTTTAAATTAAAAAAAGGGTTGGAAATTAATGAAACTAGTTTAATTGTATATAAATCTTCTCGATAAACAAAGTGAACACACCCCGGCCCCTCTAAGTAGCACAAATATGGGAATTTCCATTGACCTGGATGTAGTGAACCATGGCTTCTGATAACGACTGTCCATTGTGTGTGTGTGTGTATATATATATATATATATTCATTCTATTAAATACAAATATATTGACTGAAAGTATATAG